GCTTCGTCCACGGTGAAAGCCGATCCGGCGATCCACAGCATGAAGTTGATGTATTTCCTCAGCGACCAGCACGACCAGCGACCAGAATAAAAGTTACGCCTTCTTTCTTTGCGTGAACATTTGGGCGGCGTTATGCAAATCTTCCCACATCGTGACGTAGACATGTTAGAACGAGCCGTTTTAGGTAGGCGTGGTTGACTCTTAACTTTTATAAAGAATATCTCTTTGGATTTGAGTCTTTAGTCTTTGCAACTTTACAGATCTTCTTTATGCACCAAGAGCTTGTAACACTCCAAAGAGAAAGGAAAAATTAAAAAAGCATCATATGACCCCTTTAACGGATCAAAGCATTTACTTAAGACACTTTAATGATGGTGCACAATTTATTTATTTTTTCATTCAGTTTTAGACCCCCTAACTGATGTATAAAGTTGTTTTGTTTGCAAGGAGGGAGTGAAATTACAGTACTGACAGTGTTATAAATAAAGATGCTTGTTCAGTTCAGTACTGTTAACATTGTGTCAAGTTCAGAAGTAAAACAAATATTGGTTCTGCATATCGGTTATCAGTCACATAAGCATGCAAATAATATGTATCGGTTCTAAAAAAAAAAAAAATTTATATCGGTCGATCTCTAGCTGTAAAAACTAGGAACGCACGGAAATTTCAGCAACTGAAAAGTTTTCATAATATGCTGTGAAAATGTTGATGGAACAAACTGATGTATGTGCAGAATTGAGAAATTTATATTTATGAAGGTCAATTGATGTCTCACAAGGCAAATGTATTTCAGTTAAAAAAAAGTCAATGTAATACAAACATTTGCGAGAAATAAGTAATTTGTACATTCACATAACTGGTAATGGAAAAAGACATTGTGTAGCTATGTGTACACACCATGAGTTCAAGTCAACTTTCATTTCGTGAACAGTACGGATGTGTGTATTTCATTCATTCACCTGACCCAAACATACATCAGTTTCAAATGCCACTGGCTCAATTAACATTTACAGTATAGCAAGAATAGCAACGTAGATCTTAGTTGCATTTTAAGTGACATTATAAGTCCTTTACACATATATAGAAGGTAATATTTGGATTTTTCCGGCTCTCTGCACTGGCGCTTAGCAAAACCTTAAGCGTCTATGCCCACACTCCCTAGACCGGAAATCCAAGATGGCGGCGATATGCAACTAGCCTATAAGCAACTCGGACTCGCACCATATGCAAAGATGAAGTCTGAGATGGTCCGCACATGTAAATAATAACAGTTCATGTGGAACAGCATTTACTGTGTACAGAGCCGCTCTGAGATGCACAGAAGCTACACACATATAAACCACACATTAAACCCGCAGCGCAAATATTTATTTAATTGAATCACAGTTCAATGTGATTCACAATAGCACTATGCTTTATGATTTTTAAATAGTTTTAATATTATACAGCCCTAATATCATTAAAACGGTCATAAAACTGAATAATGTGAAATTTAAATGTTTTTATAAAACTCAACATTTATTAATTGAATGCCGATTATTACATTTGGTAAACAGATTATTAAATAAACTTTATTTCAATTTTCTTTAATTTAGACTATAAAAAAAGGTGACTACTTTTAAGAGCATGTCAGTTACCTCGTGCACTGCTGAGGGGTTTGAGGTAGAGGGCCAGCTCCTCAACACACTGCCGTGCCTCATCATAATGCTTGGTGTCCTCTGGACATGTAATGAACACCACAGGTTGCTGTTTGGGCACCTGAGAGAAAAAGACAACTTGAATGAAGCACACAGTGATCTGAAAAACTGTGGTTATGCTTAGGGCTGCGCTGGTGAGTGTGACAACCGCACCACCGCAGTGGCAGGATACCACTGGCGATGGTATGCAATAAATAAATAATAATAGCGGTTGCACACAAGTTAAGTACAAAGCACTGTTTACTAAAGAAATAACAGTTTAGCAACTTAATATTGCGAAGATAGAAACATCTGGATTTGTGCTGACTGAGGGGTACATGAGCCCATAAATTTGGATTAAGCCATGTCGTCTTTGTATTCTGTCTTACGATCTAGTCACCGGACTTCCCACGAATGGGAAATCGGACTACACATGGAATCACTCGTTTCTCTTCCCAAATAGTCGCTCACATCTCACTCTGTCTTTTTTTGCAGGCGATTTATAATGGCAAAGCAACATCAAACATAAATGTCTTAATTGTGTGGAAGATCGCTCTTTCGAACTTTTATCAGTTGCTTTGGAGTATCTGGAAAAATATGAAGGCACTAAAGACACTGCTTGTTTTCCCCAGCAAAATGCAGACCAGGTATATACTAGGGCTGGGTAAAAAAATATCGATATCTCGATATTAACCGATTCTCATTTTTACGGAACGATATTGATTCTTAAATCCCAAGAATCGATTAGTCTAGCCTGTTTTCAGTTAATGGACAGACCGTTGAAGGGCACCTCCCATCCAATATATCGCAATAAGCATTGTGCTTTGGTATTTTTAATATGAAACAAAGTCTCAGACTTCAAATTCTGTCTATTGTATTGCAGTATTCAAACAATAAATGCCGTTTTAGCGCAGTTTAATGTGGAGTGACAGATCGCTGTAGCAGCAGACGCAGCACGTGAACTGATCATCTCCTCCACATTAATACCAGTTTCAGCACAAATGACCATAAACTAATTTGTCAGATAGAAAAATAAACTGTAGAGAGGGGCATTTTGCTAAATATATGCATCATATAACATATTCATTAGGGATGTAACGATTCACTCAACTCACGATTCGATTAACGATTTTGATTTCACGATTCGATTTACCAATTTTTTTTTTAACAAAATGAGATTTAAGACAAATTATAAATTAAATGTGTCCTTTTATTATTGCTTGGACAAAATACTGCACGTTTCTTTGTGAAATTGAAATATAACACTATAATAATATCCTAATATAGCACTTGTAAATTATTGCTCTTTTGTTGGTTTTGATTGCTTTTATTGTTCTCATTTGTTAGTCGCTTTGGATAAAAGTGTTTGCTAAATTACTAAATTTAAATATAATGTAAATATAAATAACAAAACTAAATTGAAATCAAAATCAAATCAAATCAAATAAATAACACAAATAAAAGAAATCTCTTCATATAAACAAACTAAGGCTTTGTCTGTGCTCTTTCCATTTAAAATTAGAGGCAACCACTGCATTTTAATCATGATCCAAACAAAGATGCTGCATACATGCAACATGAGCAGTTTTTAATCTAAATTACATTGTATAATTTCGAAATTTTAAGCAAAAACAGAATGGTTTGACTTCAGTTTTGTGAAACTACGCATAAAAAATATCTGCATGAAACAAACAGAGCTGAATGAGACGCAGATTCACTCTCTGCCAGCAGGTGGCGCTTAAAGCGTTTCCTTGGTTTCCGCTGTAAACAAAGCAGCGCTGCACTTATGAACTTTAATATGCAGGGCTCCAGACTGCGACCATTTTTTCTGC